TGAGTATCCATGATGCATGAACCTTGATAAAGGTACCCTGCGTAAAGAAATGCTTTGCTTGTTAAACAAATGCAATTTAATGCAGTGTGTGCTCATAGCATCAATTCATATAATCCAGTATTAAACAATTGATACTGGAACAACTCTTGTCTATTATTTAAGATAAACACTATGAAATAGTAATCTCTTCAGTCTTGTATCAGATCAGAATGTCCTAACACAACTTGGTTAATACCTGGCTCTGTGTCCGGCCATACAAGGCTGTTGCACAACACAGAACAGCAGGCTTTTTTCCTGCAAAGAAAGTGTTACATATAGAGAAAGTCTTACCTAAAGCTCAAGGCTGATATACATCATATAGAACAATAGGATTAGCTAAGCTTTTTTTCCTTCAGATATTATCTTTCCCTCATTCTAAGCAAACATATGTCAACCTGAGAACTAAATATTTTATTAATGCCCTTTATTATTAGGTTTCTTAAGGCCAGTAGGAAAAAAATCTGATAAAAGAGTTTATGTGAGATTTAGGAATAATTTATCATTCCTGACTAGATTCGTCAACTGAAGAAACAGTTTCTTGAAGAGAGTTGACTATATCTCTTTATAAACTTGTTGGCATATTCTGACCTTTAGATTTTAAAAATATAACACTTTAGGGTCTCTTCTGAAGCAAATGTGGAGAAGGAAAGTATGCACTAAGGCCATGTAGAACTGCTGACAAATATTTGATACTTACCTACTGAAGCATGGCATTATTTTCTCAAATGCTCTCTGAATGTAATTTGCTAAAAAATAAAATATCAGGCATGCTTTAATTTCTCACATCTCAAGGTGGTGAGATTTTTTGAAAGATATGGTTTAGGTAGCTAGTGTAAGTGCTTTAGGAAAACTGGTCCTCAGAATTAAATAGTGGTGTCACTGCCAAGTAACAGTTTTTACCGATAATGCCCTTTTAGTAATCCTGTTACCTTACTTCCCCTCACAAGGGAGGATCTAATAAGACAAAGCTCCTATTATCTTAATACTTCAAGGGAAGTTCACTGATTGGCTACACACAACATTTACTGTTTTGGCTATGGAGTTGCTTAGTTATTTTGTTTTTTAATACTGTCACTGTTGCTTCATCCCAAATAATTGTTTCATTTTCTGAAGGCTTGCTTGATTCTTTTGTAGTATGCCTTAGAGACAGCTATTTGGACCTCAACATGTCTCAGCTCATTATTTACTGTAAAACAAATGGAAAGGCAACCCAGGCGGACAGCAGTTGCGGGTCTTCTGAGTTATAAAGGCTTGAATTATTACATGTATTATTTGCTAAATAGCACATACGTAATGATATTGCTAGTGCTAATTTCTGCTAAGAGTATTCTTAGGGGGTGTCATTACTATTCCATTCTTATTGTTATTATTAGACAAAATCCCCAGGAGATTCACTTATAGACAAAAAAGGCCATATGTAATAGCTACAAATTCAAACTATAACCAGGCAAGGCAAAATTTAAGTACCTGAATTTGGAATGTGAATGACTTTTCTGTTCAAAAATGGTGGTTGTTAAATGTTTTTTGGACATTCTCCTGTTTACCCACACTAAAGTGTGCACCTGCCTTGTTTTCAAGTATTTGGCCCCAGTGCCTTACTTTAAACTGTACATATTTTGGGAGGTTCATTCACATGGAATCTTATATTTAACAGTTTCATGGGGTTGTTTCTTTGGGACGAAAGGAGTTTCTCAAGAGCCTTTTTTTCTCTGCTCCCAGTGAAAAGAGGAGAGCAAAGCCATCCGCTTACCACAAAGCAGTCCCACCACAAAGGAAAGATTAAGGGTTTAGGGAGAGGTCAATGTGGGTTTTTCTCTAACTAAACACTTTCCTAAAGTTTCCTTGTGGAAAAAATAATGAAGTCATCTAAGAGTTTTTAAAGAATTTTTATTTCTTTTTCACCGTCTGCATTCGCTTGTCTTCTCAGCATGGATGTTTAATCTTTCTAGGCTTTGTGAATTGGCCCAAATGAATAAGTGGTGAGCTGTCTCTCTAGGAGCTAGCGGCTTATTCTAAGGCCCTAATCACTGAGTAAACACATCTTTGCCCTCCCTCTCTTACAACTGCTATATAATAGTGGAGATTCTAGCACAGTAACCTGGATATTGCAGGGATCCACGCTTTGAAATGCAGAATGGCTGATCCTCCAAAACAGACAGTGCCTGATCTTCTCCTGCCTCTTTCTTCTTTTTTAAATTAAATATCACCACAGAGATGCTGTTTTATTGCCTGATATTGTGCATTAGTGCCCTGGATTTTCAAGTTTAGTTTCAGTCAACATTGTTGGCTGCACTTATATGGAACTGTGCATGTTAGGCTTATTGGTGGCCTTTCCTGGCGCATGTGTACTTGGATTTGAATCACTTTTTAAATTAAAGCAGACAAACATTAATGTAAATGTCTAATCCCTTTTCCAAAGTCAAGTGTTCAAACTTTTTATACTTTTTAGAAGAGATTTTAGGACTTTTCCAAACCTAGCTTTCTAACCTACATATTTAAAATAAATCGTTAGAAGATAACTGACTATTAATTTAGGAAATTTCTTTTTAACTGACAATTTTTAGTAAAACACATTGGCTATGACTTGCGGCCATTTTTCATTTTCTTTTTTCTTTGTATTAGTACGTTTTTATTCTTATTTTACTTCCAGCAATTCTATTCCATATCACAAAATGGTTTTGAAACTTGCCTCAGTATCCCCAGTAGTTTGCAATGAACACTGATGTTCCAAAAACTCTGAAGGCCACTTGTATGTGCTAAGATAATGGCATCCTAACCAATTGGTTCATACAGGTTTAAATGTATGAACATACACTTAAAATATAATACCTCTTGCTTATGGGATTTTTCCTTGTTCATAACCAGTGTAGAAATGGAGTAGGTTGCAAATGGGTTGGAACAATTCACCACTCTCTCACCATTCCACTTAATGGAAAGCTCTTTTCCTTTTTAGTAGCCTATGTTTCTATGCTAGCCATCAAAATAAGAGCTGCTAGCCTCTTAATATTTGCAAACTACTATCTTTTGTGGACTTAATTAAAAGGTTGTATTTTTACTTCAACTAATTATTTCTTTTTCCAGTTGTTCACAGAAGTTGAAATACTAGAAATTAAATTGTGCGTTATCTCATAAAAGTAATTTCATTTAACTTTGTAATTCTTTTGATGAAGGCAATTAAATATTTTAAGTATATTTAAATCAAATTAATATTTAAAATAAAGATAAGTATATTTATCTAAAGGTTTAATTAATGAAATTCTACTTTAATTTTTAACATTTCCTTTAATGTATTTCCCATATTTTCATGCATTGGTTGGTATCAGAATATTTTGGGGACTCCTACAGTTTTACTTTTAGCAGTGTACAAATGTCCTGCCATATGAGGCACTCTTCTGCTGTGGCACTTGGTGCAGTGTGGTGATAGCAGTGCCCACAGGTGCTCTCCTGGCATTGTGAGTGAAGGATGATCTTCTGCCTCTCTTGATTTGTTGCCTGAGCAGGAAATGTACCCTATTTCATGGCAGAGCTGATCCTGTTTATTTTATATCAGCTATTATATTTTTCATGTAGAATTCAATACATTTGGTGATTAGCTTTTCTCATAAGCAAAGCTAGTTCATGGAGTAGTTAGTAACAAATTGGTTTACCTTAAAGTAAAATGATCAAGAGGCTCAAGCAACTGCCTATGAGGAGTGGTTACAACAACTAGCATTTTTAGTTAGAAAAAAGGGTGAGTAATGGGCAACATAATTAAAATAAAAATGTTTAAAATAATGTATGAAGAAAGTGGAGGGGGAGACATTTTTCTGCAACTCCCATAATACTGAACTTGGGGTCATCCCATGAAACTGATTGGTGGGAAGTTTAGGACAAATAAAAGTAATTTTTCACAATATGGGTGGCTTCAAAAGGAGATTGGACAAATTCAAGGAGGAATAGGCTATCATTGCCTATTGGCTACTTGCCTTGATGGCTCTATGCTACCTCTGTTACTAGAGGTGGCATTCAGCATACACCACATGCTGAGGAACTCGGGCAGGTGGAACTTCTTGAGGTATGCTGTGTACAGCTGGTTTCCATCATGTGAATGGAGTGATGTACTGGATGGACCATTGGTCTGATCCACCATGGCTTTTCTTACATTCTTCTTTATTTTCTTAAATAATTTCTTCCATTTTAAAAGGTAAATTATAAGAAAAGGAATGTTGTTATGAGGAACAAAATATATTTAATGGCATGCACAATTCCATTTTACACAAATGGTCTGGGACATATGTAGAGGATCAGAGGTTAGGATGCACAGGATTGCTGTTTCCAAGGACAACAACTCAGAGGTTCATCTAGCTAGGCAAATATGACAAATATATGATAACAGGTGCTACATTATAAGAAGCTTGTAGTACATACAGTTAACCAGATCCAAAGACAGTTAAAGGGAACTACAGGATAGAGGAAATACAGAGCTGTATTTGGAGTATCCTTCTAATAAATTTTCCCCACTCTCACTCCTTAATGTGTAATAAAATGTTCTGTCCTGGCATCATCACATTAATATCTATGATTAATTAAAGTAACTTTTCTGCAGATATATTCTTAATTGTATATTGACATTCATAAGAACATACAGTCATATATTCTTTTCTTTATATGTGCACAACCATTATTTAAGTAGACTAACTTAAGCATTCTTAAATAAACATTTTTGGCCATGGCCCTTTGGCCACAAGAATAGTTTGCTCTTTCTGTAATACCATTAACAGAAGAACTGTTTCTATCATAGCACCATTTATATAGTCTTAGCTGAGATAAATGGAAGTATGTTCCACTGAAATCAAGACTATGCTCCAAAAATACTTGGTTAAGGGAAAAGACATGAATTGGATCTACATTTAAAACAGTGTTGTGAGTACAGCAATTAAATTCAGATATTATGCTAATAATATGCATTTTCTATTTTTCAGAGAAAGCTTCTTGCTGTCTACCTCCACCATGATGAAAGTGTGCTAACCAATGTATTCTGTTCTCAAATGCTATGTGCAGAATCTATAGTTTCATATCTTAGTCAGAACTTTATAACCTGGGCTTGGGATATGACAAAAGAAGCCAACAGAGCAAGGTAAGTGGGTTTGAATTGGGTATTAATCTAATATTCAGAGAAACTTAGTGTATTTTTCTAAAATCTGTTCTGCATTCCATTGTTTATTTAAATAGTACACACTTGTTATATATTGGTCAATAAATTCATCATACAAGCTAATGTTCTCAGGATACGGCTACTCTGTATCCATACTATATGTAGCCCTTTTGTTCTTCCTGTATCCTAGGCCATGGCTAGCCTGCAACCCAGCCAGCTATACTCTCCTCTGGATATCTCATTCCATTCCCTCTCCTGCATGGTTTTGCATTTTGCACTGCATCAATAGTGAGTCAGCAATCTGTGCCCACTGAGCATGCTTGGTCTTTACTGGGCTATTTTGCCACCACCACCCTCTTTGGGATTCCTGCAGGCCTGCTGATTCCTTCCTCTTGTATATGGATAGTGCCATTTTAGCTACATAAACATCTACACTTGGAAAATGAGTTGAAGGTTGGCATAAAGAAGAATGGAAGTATAATGAGCCACTTAAAGAAATGAGTGCAGAGGTCCCTAATGCTTGGGGAGTAGTAGTTGCTAGAGGGCCCTCTAAAATGTAGGCAAGTCATAACCAATTCCCACATCCTTAAGAAATATGTAGACTTTATTATGTGGATTTACATGTGTAATATAGAAACAAGGCCTTAGGTCTGCAATCATCCATTCACCATCAGTTTGTTAATTATAGTATACCACATGAAGTTTAGCTTCAAGGAGCTCTGTGCTGAACTCATGTGGGCATATCTTATGATATGAAAAACATGCTGAGTTGACTTTAATTTGAGTCATTTGACTTCCAGCAGCTATAAAGCTAAAGCTATACAACCTTGTTATGATAAATTAAAGTAGAAGTTTTATTATTCCCATGAGATAATACAATTGTTAGGTCTTACATTGCTCATAATTTTGAGCTGGCAATTCTTTCCTACAGTCCTTCCATAACTGGTGGAATATGCATATTATGTTATAATTCTCTTTACATAGATTTCCTGGCTTCCTGTGTTATTATATCTGAACAAGCATATGAATGACTGTTCTGTAGTTGATCTTGTAATAGATGGAGTGCTTTTCATTCATTTAAAGTTTAATTACATGTTGCTCATGATAACTTTTACTAAATGGAGTGATTAAGAAATCATGTGCCTTTCTTGCCTTTTCTTTAGACCCTAAGTAACCGGCATGTATATTTTTCCTGCTGCCTTATTGTAATCTATAAATATGTTACGATACAAAGTATGTTCTTGTATAATAATCCACAAATTACTTTGATAGATTTAACATAATTTTGGTTTAGATTAACCCTACCATGTTGTCCCCTGTTTCTGTTTAATTACCATTGAAATAGAGATTAAAAAGTAGTTCCAAAACCAGATATGTATGTAGTGTCTATACTTTATAATGGGACAGAATATATGGACAAGAGGTTGGGTTAACTCTTATACGGCTGCCATTCATTATGAGTAAGGAGTCCCCTCCTTTCCTTTTATCCCTACAATTTGATGTCGAAGGAAACACTATTTCTAAACCATCTGCAGTGGCTAAGTTCAGTCGACTACCTGCTGTTACATTGTTCTAGTCCTGTTTAATTCTCTAGTTTCTATTATTTTACAATAACAAAAAATTGTGATGTAGTTTCTTTTGAAAAACTATGTTTGAGGAGGTTTTTATGACTGACAATCAACAGGCATGTCATTGCTTTGTTATGTTTTACTAAAGAAGTCTATTAAGCAGCACAACTTTGATACACTAGTTATAAGTTTGCAGGTTATGGAGACACCTGTGGTGACCAAAACGACCAAAGCTGCTTATTAGAAAGAGCCTCTACAGCTGTGTCCTATTAACTCCTTATGACACTTTAGAAACACTAAATAAAAGGCTTGTTTAAAGCTTTATAGCTATTTTTAGTGAGTCTAGAACCTGATTGTAAAATACAATAAGATGCTTAATTCTACAGTTCTTGGTTTTGCTATTAATTTATAACTAATGAACTATCATGTTGCAGTGAGATTTTCAAATAAGCACATTTTTAAATCAAATACAATTCTTTATTCATACATAACAGTACAGATCACTCTTCAGTTTTGGCACTTTTATGTGGCATAGGATGCCAAGAGGAATTGCTAGCTAGAGTCCAGGGTACTTTCTCATAGAAATCCTGAAGGGTATTTTAATATGAATCTGGATACCTAAGAGTAATGTTAAATTAATATCTTCATAACACAATATGTTAAATACACATAGTTGGATCTGTGATACTGACTTCATTATGTGTGTCTACAAATATCTGTTAACCTATTGACAGTTAATATGGATGTATTATTTCAGTGGTATCAAGACATTTCAAAATTAGATGCTTCATTAAGGATTAAAACAATTGGATTGGATCCTAAGATAAATAAGTACAAGAATGTTTACAGAACAAAAGTTTCCTATTCTCTTCTCCATCCAGCAGTGTCTCCCATGTCCTGTCACACAGTGTGGCAGGTGAATGGTAGAAACTCTGTTCAGGGCTGAAAGTTAGAGGAGGGGATGGGCAGCTTTCATGTCCTAAAACTCCATCTTTTTGCTCATCCTAGGAACCAGGTCATTCATGGAAAGCCAGGGCAAAAAGTTTGCAGATTAAAAGTGCAAATTTTAGCTAGCTTCTAGAATAGTAAATTAGGTTAGAGAACAATAGTGCAATCAGTTCTTTTCCACATGCAATACACTTGTTGATGAATTCCATGACAGCTTCAGAGAACACACATTACCACAGTGGTGTGTCTTCTTTCAATGCTTGAACCTTTAGCCTTCAATTGAAGGAACCACAGGGATAGGGCCAACAGTTTGGCATCATTCCATTAAATGTCACATACTTTCCAGGATATATATGTGTGTGTGTGTGAAAAGAATTACTTAATTGCCACTTCCCTCTTTTGACTCCTTCATCCAAAAGTTGTATCTGCAAAAAGGTAAAAATAATCCTTGAACCTTCCCTTTGTTCCAACATAATATCTAATTCTACTGAGATGCATACTACATTAGCTATTGAATGTAGTATATGAAATGAATGGAATTTGTTGACTATGATGAACTTAAGTCCCATTCATTCCATAGGTCTACTCTAAGTAGGATTAATAATTTAGAATCTCTGTCAGCAGTAGAACATGGGGTAAGGCAAATACTTGACAATGTTCAAGGTCAGAGATATGAGGAAGAAATTGTCACTGTTCCACTGGGAAATTTTTCTTCCAGCCCTACATACTGCTAAAGATTATTGAGAGACAGAAAGAACACAATAAAGATTATGAAGTACTTTGCTGCTATAAAACAAAATTTAAAAAGGGTTATTGGTATGTGAAGGATAAAAATGTGGTATGACAGAATTAATTTAAAATTAAAATGTTGTTAATTTTGCTAGGAAATTAATATATTTTTACAATGAGTATTTGGATATAGGTGCATTTTTCCAGTGATTGTTAATTACATTGTGGAAATTTCATTCTATAATTGTGGGACATATTCATCTTCTGAATTGTAAGAGGCATTTCTAGGATGCTTTACAAGAGTTTAAAGCATTTGAATCCATTGGCTAATGGTTCAGTCCTTTGTATGTTCAGAAAGGAAAATGTCCTACAACTCCCAGCATTCCCTATATAGCTGACTGGAACATTCAGCAATTATAGGATTTCTTTCTGTCTAAACATAGATAGGATTGCACCTTAAATGGGTAACATTTCTAAATGGGAATTGCCTGATGGTTGTTAGTGTATTTGAAAGTATGCTAGTAATTATATAAATTCCTGTCAAAGTAACTTGAGATCCTCTAATATTCCCATGTTAACACCTCCCACACAAATTTTAGCAGGGTGACTTCATATTTAATTGCATCAGTAATTCTATTTCTGTAATTATTTGTATGCATGTAAACAATATTGCAGGTAACAATGTTCCGTGCACTTTGGTGTTTAGTCATGCCGGCCACATGACCACAGAGACTGTCGGCGGACAAATGCTGGCTCCATCAGCCAGGAAACGGAGATGAGCACCGCCCCCTAGAGTCAGGCATGACTGACTTAATGTCAAGGGGAAACCTTTACCTTTACCTTTTTAAACAATATTGTATCCTCTCATTGTGGTGGAGGTAGATTATGAAGTTTGAAGGAGGGAATGTTGGGTAGGAATGATGGAAAAATACACAATGGATTCAAATAAGTTTGGATTTTTATGAATCTTACCTGCCGAATCTACGATGGGTTGGGGTTTTCTTAATTAAGCATTTTGCACACTTGGGTTTGTTTGTTTGTTTTTGCATGTGGGAGGTATTTGCACATTTTATCCAATTGCAAATGCATGCTTAAGCTAATGCACAAACAAAATTCTAATAGAAAAAAATCATATTCCATCAATGAGCAGATGTCAGAATGATAGTCTCGAAGTCTGTCAGAAAGTCAATGGAAGTCTTGATTCTTATTCTTCCCCCACTATATCTGATGGGCATATTTTTACTAACAGGAAATTTTTATTTATTTATTTATTAAAACATTTTTATGCCGCCCCATTCGCCGAAGCCTCGGGGCGGCTTACAACAATAAATTACAATAAACATAAACATAAATAAAACGTATTTATTTCAATCATTTATTTGTTACTTTTCCTGTGTTTGAAGTGACTTGCATAAAACATAGTAAACCAAGCAAAACACAAATCATCAAGTTAAATAAAAGATAAGCTAAAGCATAAACAGCTAATGAGTAATTGTATCAACTTATGTATACCTGAACTTATATCATCAGGTTGAGATGAAACCCATCACTCCGGCATCTAACACTGCTCACTGTGTTTAGGTTTTGAACCCTATGCCACACAGTACAATATTCTGACCACTTGTTTGGCAGGGACTTGTCAGTTTAAGGTTCAATTTATTCCCCAGCACTACCACAACCACCAGCAGTAAGTACTTGATCTTATCTTAGGAAAGAAATATTTGACACAAAAATTAA